GCGAGAGTTTTATAAACTCATTTGCATTTACCTAAAACAGGCAGATGGGAGTCCAAAATAAACACTGGATGCAAATATTTTTACATTTCACAGAATTATGCATCAGTGCCAGCCATGAGTTCTGTAACCTACCTATCAAATGTTTAATGTTACCTATTAACCAACCTGACACCCTGCTTTCCCAGCGTATGTAAAACTACTGTACACACAAATTCATAGAGGCATCAATATTTTTTATATTTGTTGATGATTTACACCAAAAATAATTGGAAGATACCACATCCCTCACAGGCCCATTTTGGGGAAATGATGTCAGAATATACGCTCATGCAAACAACTTTTAAAGGGGCTGTTCTAGTCACATGAATAGATTCCAACACTTCATGGCTCGTCAGTTGTAATTAATGCCAGCGCTCCATAGAAATGTACTGTCAACTCACCAGGTTTTAGAATTTCTCTCAGGGTCAAGGTAAGGTTTTAGAAGAAACAAACATACATGACAGCAGATGATAAGACATAGTCACTACCATTGGGGAATGAATGTCTGCCTTTGTTTACCTTATACTTGGCTTAAAAAAAATAAAAAATAAAAAAAATAAAAAAAATTCCCCTCCCCCTCCATACTGACTTCAGAGTAACCCAAAAACATCACTCGTGTAAACTGATCCTCATGTACCATAACTTCAGCCGGTAGTAGTTAAGAAAAAAATTAAAAACATTTTTTTTTTTAAAAGTGCACAGAGGACTTAGTTTTCTCCGACAACCTTTTCATTTATAGTGATAAGGAGGACTTGAACAACTGACATATGCCATCTAATCAAAGAGTTTAAAAAAAAAAAATCTGACTAATCTTGAAATACCCCCCAATTTCTGTATTTCATGAGAAAACAAAGAAAAAGACATCCTGTTTTAAATGAAAGGCACACAACTAATCTGTTATGGAGAAGTTGTTAACTTGTCCATTGTCAAGAACAAATGTTAAACCCCTGTTTTTTGTTGTGCTCTCTCAATCAGGATATGTAAACAGCAACAAGAGAGAGAAATAAAAAAAAAAATAAAAAAAAAGTCAGTCAAGTATTGTCTATTTATCCAATGGATAAAAATTGTAAGTTTATTGCAGGAAGCCACAATATTAAGCATGGACAGTGGAAATCAAGATATTATGCTAATGCAAGTCTTACACTACCAAATATGTGATATTAAAATGAATGGGAGAAGGACAGACAAGGTGGGGGAGGGAATATCTTTTATCGGATCAACTTCTGTTGCTGACAGACACACACTTTTGAGCTTACACAGAGCTCTTCTTCAGGAGAAGTAGCATCAGTTTTGCACTCATTACTTAGATCAAATTAAGTGGTCCATACAACTATATTTATTCATTCAAGTAGAGTTGATCATCAATTTGTTTGAAACTGAAACAACAGCAACAACAACAGGAAGGGAACGCGGTCAGTTTTAAAAACACTACACCTCAGACTTAAAATATTTTCCATTGTTTTGATTTTTCACTATTACCTTTACTGGCCTAACTCTGACAGTACTGAAAGGTACTCAGTCAAGTTTCAGGGGCCTTTTTCCTCCCAAAGCAAAAGATTATGAAGTTATGCTTTTAAAAAGTAATACAAAATAAGCATCTATGGGGTAAAGCTGTTGACTTATTTCATATTAAAAAAGGACAAGGAAAATTAAAGCACACATCAATCCCATATGAACAGTTACTTCTATGAACTCTTATAAACAGTTACTCCAATTAGCTGTATTCTTATGTGCCCCCCAATCACCATAGTATCCAAGTGCAAGTGCCCATTCAAACTGAATACTCACTACGGAAAAGAAAGTTAAAGAAAGAAAGAGTTTGCATTTTGAATTGTTATCCATCATTAAAGCCAAGCTTTATAGAAGAGTGTGTTTAACCTATAAAACCTTCATTTCACAGTTGTTTTTTGTTTGTGTGTTTGTTTTAACTGCAAGATCAAATCAGTTATTTTCTCTGCTCAAGCCTGCAGAGGACGGACTTATTTATAGTAAACTTCCTGTTTTTCCAGCCTTGTAAATGTCATACAAAGCAGACAAGCCAATAAAGTATGTAAGTTTCCAGGTTAAGTTTGTCACAAAACTTCAGCATCAGTTAGGCAGGCACTGGGGTCTGGGGAGAAGGAGGGGAAATGGAATCAGACAGTTAAAATGTGTTTACACGCATTCACTTAACACTGTACTTTGCAGCATGTTTTAGTAACATGCAACTCTTGCTGCATATGATCACTTAAAATAACATTAAAAGAGAAACTGCTACTGGAAACTGACATAGAAATCATGCATTTTAAATAAAAGTCTAATTCTTCCAAGTCTATCAGTAAAGGTTGGTAAACATCCATTTCACCATATATACACAAACCAATGAAATTTTATTTCCATCAATAACAGGAATGTACAGAAAGGCAAGGAAAGAAAAATGCTGCTTGAGAACTTACTGGAGTTTGATGTCGGGATATTTACTTGGTATATTTTGACATGTGATGTCGATAATTTGTGTTTTAATCATTATAAAGCTTTAACTTTTTGCATCTCAGTGTCTACAGTCATTAACTACCGTCTGATTCCCCTCTCCCCCATTGCGTGACACTCCCCCATATTTTCCTGCAACTGTGAAAATTTAAAATAAATAATTTTTGGTAAAAAAAGAAATGCTTAAAACCCATAATTCTGCACAACTGTGAAAATCTCAAATTATTATTGTGATTGTCAAAACAAGTAGTTCTTATGTAACCAATCCTTAAAACCCCATTTACATTTCTTTATGTTTGTTTACTCTATGCATTTCACTCAGCTAGGAAAATGAAAATCAATTTGACTTTGTTCATAGTCAATTTCACTTCCAGGTTTTCAGTGCTGCAGTCTTTGTGTTGCAAATACAGCAGGAGAAAGAAGACAATTGCTCCCACTACAGTTAAAAAAAAGGGGGGGGAGGGGGACATTTCTATTGATTTTAGGTTTTATAAGTTATCTTACTCTGATACTTCTTTATGTAACATGTGGGGATATTTTGAACTGACATTCCATTTTAAAAAGGAAGCAGATGTTTATTACAGTGACAACTCAAGATTACACATTACATAACGTACCACATGGAACAGAACACTACTCCTTCCTATAATTTCCTTTGACAATGGAAGTTTGAATAATGTCCCTGGAACAAGTGCATGGAACTACAAACTAGCTTTTAATAGGGCTAGCAGACAGAAGTTCAGAGGAGAGCTCTGCTGATTTAGAAGAAGGGCATCAGCCAAACAACAAAGACGAGATTAATTCTCTTTTGGGTCAAGCGAATAGGTTGTTGCCTGCACATCAACCACACAAAACATCGCTGCATTTGCCAAACACAGCAAATCCCTCCACTTTGGGAGGTGTCCCTGTTTGTGCAGTAATAAACTTTCCCCTAAAGAATCTACTGAATTATCCTACCAGAACTTCCTTTCCTGCCTCCACTTATAGATGACCCTGGTGTGCTAGGCCACCATGCAAACCTACAGGTGTTCCAATATAATCCTGTTTATTTCAAAATCCTGGGTATTCAAATAACCTTAACAGCTGCTGCAACAGGAACAGTTTCCTGGCACTAAATTCAAGTCCCACACTGGAAACTACAAACCTATTATCTAGACTTGCTGTGCTAACCTGTTAAATGAAGTGTACTTTTCATATAGGAGGACTCTTGCTTCTGTCTTCCATAGCCTCATTTGAGAGCTCTCTCTCATACAAATCCCTTCACCTCCCCTCCGCCTGGCTCAAAGTGATGCAGAAATGACCTACTGCTAAGAGAGCAAGCAAGGCTAAAATAACCATTCCAAGTGGGGATAGTTACAGCTTTTCCCTTCCCCATGCACACTCCATGCCAACCCTTTGACAAGCTAAGGCAGGCAGCTGGCAATCACATGCCTATACTTTTTAACAAAACTCTAGTCATAATCCAGCAGTGCAACCAAATGCTACAGGTCTATGGGATGCATCCCTGCTGAAGGAGTAAATCTTTCAGGAAATTCCTCCAGGTCCAGTGAAATGAATTTTTTTTTTTTGTTCATTAATAGAATTAAGCTAACAGATCCAAGCATTTCACTCCACAACTGCTACGCCTCCAGAACTGCCTGTAGCTAGGGGTTTCGGTACACTTAAAAGAATGTCTTAAGGGAATTGCTCATCGGGCTTAAGGCAAGCCAGACTTGAAGGTAGTAAAACTTCAAGATTTATTTCCCCATGAAAACAGGGCTCTGATTGCACAGGGGAACCTAAATGATGCCCAATTACAGTCTTTGCATCGAAGAGAGCAAGGTGTTTCAAAGGTCATGTCGTGACCCTTGATGACAGATTAAAAAAAAAAAAATGAACCCTTTGTATGCCTTTAACCACACCAATAAGCTGCCCCTGCCTGGCGTTTTCTATTTGATCTCTGGGATCAAACGCTGTCCAAAGGAGGAGAAGAGGGGGACTGTTCACCTTTGTTGCATGTTCTGAGGATAGGGAGGGAAGAGGGAGGGGAAGCACAACTCTGGTGCAAACATTTCATCACTCCCGAAGTCAATGTTTTGCAAGACTGGCAGAAGCAAAGTCCCAGCGTTTGCCACTGGCCCCACCTGGACCGCGTTAATCCTGGGAGGAGAGGGGATCTGCCCTTTAGGAGCGCTCGCCCAGGCGGAGAGAACCGCCGCTTCCCCGGCTGCGTGAAGCCATGCCCCGGTCCGCCCTCCCAGCCAGCCTCCCCTCCGATCCGCCCCGCGGGCACGGCGCGCCAGGAGCCGGCCGGGAGAGGGACCGCTCAGCCGGCAGGTGGGACGCTTCGCCGGCCCCAGAAGTTAGCTCCCGCCTGGAAAAACTTCACGCACATACCCCAGCCAGCCCAGCCTGCCCGGGGGAAGGAGGAGGCGAGGCGGGGGGAGTTCAGTGCCACCGCCCGAGCAATGACACCGGGGGTTGCCCTGCACCCCGAGTGCCCCCCCCTTTACCTTGTCTCACGGCTGTGACCGAGATGGGCTCGGCGCAGCTCCGGATCACTTCCAGCACGTCGTAGCGGGGCAAGCCGGACACGCGGACCCCCTGCACCTCCAGCAGCAGCTCCCCGGGGCTGAGCCCCGCTGCTTCGCCCCCGGCCAGCACCGGCGGGCCGCCCTCCTCCGCCGCCCCCACGTAGGGGAACTGCCCGTGCTCCGCGCCCCCGAGCAGGGGCAGCCCCGGCCGCCCGCCGGCCGCCCGCCTAGCCGAGCACTGGTGCACCCGGCTGCTCCAGTGGTTCTTCTTCTGGATCACTTTGGACATGGCGCCGCCGCCCCCTCCCCGGCCCGGTCCGGTCCCCCCCTCGCCCAGCCGATGCAAAACAGGTGGCCCGGCGGGGCGAGCCTGGCTGGGCGCACAACTTCCCCAGCCGCTCAAGCCATCCTCCGCCCGCGGGGCTGCCGCCGCCCGCCTCCCCCTGGCTCCGGTCCGGTCCGGTCCGGTCCGGTTCGCTCCGCCCGCCCGGACAGCGCCCGGCAGCTGCCCCCGTCCCCGGACTGCGCGCAGCCCGCTCGGCAGGAAGCGGCCGCGGCCCCTTTAAGCCGCTACAAAGACGCCGCTTGTTTGGTTACATTTCAGCCCGTCCCGTTCCAGCCGGGAGCCCGGGGAGCCGCCCGCGCAGGCGCCCTGCGCACGCTC